AGATAGAGAGGAAACGGGGTGCGCCGAGCTGGCGATGGTGAAGTTGGGGAAACGGGCATAACTAACCCGATTCTCAATGAATTCGGGAGAGAAAGGAAGTGGTCCGGGGGTTTTGACCCCGTGCGAATTTGATTATGGTGTTAGTTTTAGTGAAGAGTTAGTGGAATAGGTGGTTCGTAGTAAAGGTTAGTGCGTCGGGTGGTGGCGGACAAAGCTATGTCGAGGAAGGAAGGGCAGTGAACGCATAGCTCAGGCGATTCTTAACAAAAACGGACACGCGAAGTGGCTACTCCTACGTTTGGGGTAGGGCGAGTTACATCGCGCAGTTAGTTGCGCGTCTGAGTGTCGTATAGTGGGGTAGGAGAGAAAGAGCGCTTCACTGCCCTTCCTCCTTCGACATAGCTCCCTCCGCCACCACCCGACGCACTAACCTTTACTACGAACCACCTGTTGCACTAACTCTTCGCTAAAACTAACACCATAATCAAATTCGCCTGGGGTCAAAACCCCCGGACCACTTCCTTTCTCTCCCGAATCCACTGAGAACCGGGTTAGTTATGCCCGTTTCCCCCACTTCACCATCGCCAGCTCGGCGCACACCGTTTCCTCTCTATCTTCTAATCCACTAACCTATCACTAGATCTAACGACTGCGATGAGCTCGACCTAGGTCAAAACCCCGGGAATGCCTCCTCCCTCGCTCGTTTTCGCTAAGAAGCGATCGAGCTTCACCTTTCTATCTTCCTCCTCCCTCATCGCTCCGCCGAATCCATTGAGAATCGGGTTACTTATGCCCGTTTTCCCCACTTCACCATCGCCAGCTCGGCGTAACCCGTTTCCTCTCTGTCTTCTAATCCACTAACCTATCGTTAGATCGAACGCCACCGATGAACTCGCCCTGGGTCAAAACCCGAGGAACGCCTCCTCCCTCGCTCGTTTTCGCTAAGAAGCGAGCGAGCTTAACCCTTCCATCTTCCTCCTCCCTCATCGCTCCGACATCACAACTTTCGCACGCACCCGACTCGAAACCGCGCCCGGGTTCGCCCCCGCTGCGCTATCGCTCACTAACATAACTCCCTCCACCACCACCCGTTGCACTAACCTTTACTACGAACCACCTGTTCCACTAACTCTTCACTAAAACTAACACCATAATCAAATTCGCCCGGGGTCAAAACCTCCGGACCACGTCCTTTCTCTCCCGAATCCATTGAGAATCGGGTTAGTTATGCCCGTTTCCCCCACTTCACCATGACCAGCTCGGCGCACCCCGTTTCCTCTATATCTTCTAATCCACTAACCTAGCACTAGATCTAACGCCACCGATGAACTCGCCCCGGGTCAAAACCCCGGGAACGCCTTCTCCCTCGCTCGTTTTCGCTAAGAAGCGAGCGAGCTTCACCTTTCTATCTTCCTCCTCCCTCATCGCTCCGCCGAATCCATTGAGAATCGGGTTAGTTATGC